CAGCCTCAGGCGGAGTGGAGGACGGGACAGCCTCAGGCGGAGTGGAGGACGGGACAGCCTCAGGCAGGGAGGAGGCTGGACTAACTTTAGTCAGGGTAGAGGCCAGGACCACCTCAGTTGGGAAGGAGGGTGACCTCTCAGGAGCCAGGAAGAGAGAATATGGGGAAGTCTCAGGAGAAAGGATCGCAGAGGGCACTGGGAGGGCCTGGGCATTCGAGGAGGCCTCCAGGGGAGACCAGGAGGAGGAAGTGGATGAGAATAGAGAGGCTGAGATGAGCTTTTCCCCCAAAGAGACCCAGGCCCTGGCAACTAAGGGCACAGAAGAAGCGACTAAGGACCAGACAGCAGCGGGGGAGGCTGCAGAAGGCCAGGGGTCAGAGGGGGAGGTAGGGGAGGGCTTTCAGATCCAAGCAGATCAGGGAGGTAAAGAGGCTGAGGGGAGGCAAGCCTCAGCGATCAGGACTGTTGCCGCCAGTCCGGAGGAGGTGGTGGAAGCAGAGACGGCCAAAAAGGGGGAAGAGGGTTGCTGGGCCTCAGAGGCTGAGTTGCCCAAGGACGACGTGGCAAACGAGGCTGAAGGGGATGCTGACCTGGAAGCAACCCTAGAGACCAGCAGTCCTGAGAAGGAGTTCAGCGGGGAGAGGAGTGAGGGGGGGGCTCAGACAGGCGGAGAAGCACAGGGGGTGGAGTGGGGTGGCCTTGAGCACGAAATCACTGAAGGCCAAGAACCTGAGCTGATGGCAGACCCCCAGACCCTGACAGAACAGCCTGAGGACGGACAGGGGGGTGAGGAAGAGCTCTGGGGCGTTTCAGCTCTGAGCAAAGAGGAGACGGAAGGGAGCCTGAAGGAATACCCCAGGAACGTGGGAGATGTAAAACCTGATGCCCCTGGGGCAGAAGTCTGGGAGAACCAGAGAAGGGATGTGGAGGGAGGGGGTACCCAGGAAGAAAAAGCAGATGCTGAAGAGGGGAAAGGGGAGGGGGAGGCTGCAGGAGGCCAGGCCCCAAAGGAGGCCGAGGGAGGCCAAGAGTCTGTGCTCCCAGATGTCCCGGAGGCAGGCGGGGAGTGGAAGAAAGCCCAGGACGCAGGGTGTGGGGCAGAGGAGGGAGACCCCCCTGGAGCAGAGAGCCAGGAGCTGGGTGGAAGGCACGGGGCAGACGCAGGGACAGGTCAGTCGCTGGGAGAGTCAGATGCCAGAGAAACCGAGGATGAGGAGGTGGAGGCCACCACAGTGCCCTGGGGGGCAGACACAACATCCAGCGGAAACTGGAGGCTGGAGGAGGCCGCTCTGAGCCTCCGGGACAGCGAGGACCCAGGGGTCAGTTCTTCGGCTGCTGAGATGGTGAGGGATAAGGTAGCTCTGGCTGGCAGGGCTGCTGGAGCTGGGGGAGGGCTCGAAAGAGAGGCTGGGGAAGCTGGGGACTGCGAAGGGAGGCAGGAGGCTGGGGGAGGCGTGGAGCTGGTAGAGGCTATACAGGGAGAAAACCGAGGTGGGCTGGAGTTTGGCCTGGCGGGCCCCGCAGACGAGGAGGTGGCTGGCAGAGGGGACCAAGCAGAGGCTTTGGAGGCCAGAGAGGGTGAGCCTGGGGGAGACTGGGTGGAGGTCAGGGAGCCTGCGGTGGCAGAAGGAAGCTGTGGGATGGAAGGCTTTATCTCGGGCTCCCAGGTGGCGAAGGCAGAGGGGACCGTGGCCACGGTGGAGGCCGAGGGGCTCCCAGGAGGGCAGACGCTGTTGGAAGAGGAGGCTGTGGGATGGCAAATGAAGGAGCAGGGGCGGGGCAGTGAGGGGCAGTGTGGGGACCACCACCCCGAGGGAGAGGCAGGAAGGCCCCTTGATGTGGAGGATGTTGCGGTGACTGAAGACCGGAGAGCACAGGCCAAGGAGATTGTTCCCGAAGGCCCGGAGGACGTCCAGGGCCCGGACAACCAGTCAACACAGCGGGACCCTGCAGAGGCCGAGCGTGGGTCACAGGGGGAGACGGCAGCAAGTGCTGGTCAGGGTGCTGGCGCCAGCTGGAGTGAGGTGAGAGCCCCAGCGGCGGTCCGGGGCTGGATAGAGCGGAATCTCGAATCCGGCCCCATGGTACTCTGTGCCCCTGCCCTGCAGGCCCTGCTCCCTGGGTCTCTCCTGGACGTCTCTGTCCCCCGGAGCCGCGTACTCCTGTCTCGCAACTCCTCACTGCGCCGCTCCCGGCCCTCTTCCCGACGGACCGGCACCCCTGAGCAGCCGGAGGAGCCTCCCCGCCCCCCACCCGAGGAAGAGATGTCAGCCCCCGAGCAGAGACTTCTCCAGCCAGAGGAGCCCCCAGAGCCCAGCCCCCCGAAGCCTGAGGGGACCCCACTGCCAGCCAGGAGAAGGCCGCTGGGACGTGGGTAAGCACAGGGTGAGGTGGCTGGGCTGGGCTGGCCTGGGGAGGAGGCTGTGCCTGCCTGGAGACCAGCTCCCCTGACCTGTCTCCGTCTGCAGGTTTGGCCTTGCACACACCGGCATGATGCAAGAACTGCAATCTCGGCTGGGCCTGCCAAAGCCGCAGGGAGGGCCCTGAGCCCCTGGGAGCCCGGCTCCGAGTGAGGCTCAGAAGGATCTTCCGAACCCTGCGCAGCCTATCTCCCTCTGCCACTTTGGACACACCCTTTCCACCCTCTGGGCCTCAGTTTCTCAGTGTGTCATTCTCGGAACAGACAGAACCAGATGCCTGCGAGGACCATGAACTTGAGGAGCGTGACTCGGCAATGTGGCCGACAGACTCCCTGCCCACTGGGACCGCCTCTCACGGCCTGTCCTGACCACCTCTCTCATCTGTCTCGGCTGCCTAGAGGACCAAGGGGACGAGACAGTTCTCCCCTCAGCCTTCCCTCCCGGACTGCTCCCAGTCCCCACCCGGGCCTTCCGGAAAGCTGTGGAACAGCACACAAACCTCGGGGGTGGGAGCTTGCCCAGAAGAAAGGGGTCAGCAGGGCCTACAAGCTCCATTTGCAACGGGAGGTGGGTGAGAAACAGATCGTCAGCAGCCCTGAGCTTTCAAAAACTCACAGCTCTGCTGGTTACTATGGCAACCACCGGCCCAGCGAGCCAGAATGGGGGAAGGTACCCAGGAGCCCCCAGAATTTAGGAGCAGAAAGGGGCCCAGGGTGGCCAGAGGCTACAGACTCTTGTCCCTTGGGGGTCAGGTACCCCTTCTCTGAAAAGAAGCTGAGGCCGAGGGAGGATGAGAGTGCTTTATTGGGCACCCCGCATGGTGGCCTAGCCCGAGGACAGCTAGCAGGCTCTGAAACAATAAATAAACCATCCTTTCCCTAAACAATAAATAAATATCCAAGAAATAAATATCTGCCAGGGACCGGACGGGCCTTAAGTTATTGGGTAGGGGTTGGGGTGGGAGGCCGGTGGAGTCCTGCCTGGTTTAAGGCAAATGAGCTGGGGGCTGTCTCGTTGCCCAGACCCCAGTCCTCAGGTCCTGAAAGGTGAAGGGACGGGGCTGAGAAGTCATCCCATCAGGGCTGGGAGCTGACTGTTGAGCACCCCAAGGGTGGGGCTGGGTTTCCGGCTTGGGAGAGCAAGAGTAAGTCCCTCACGGCCCGAGCCAAGACAAGCTCCAAGGAGTGCAGCAACTGGTAGGTGTAGAGGAGCTGGGGCCAGGACAGCTGTGCTGACATGTGTGAGGGGCCACCCGGAGCCCGTTCGGGCAGCCCCTTCCTCTCCTCATTCTCCTCCTCGGGGAGGTTGAGTCCCGCAGCCAGCACCTGCGAGGAGACGCCCATGGGTCAGACGATGGCCAAGCTGAGACCCGGAGCCCATCCTCGTTCTTTTATGTGCCCAGTGGCACGGAATGACATCAGAGACCACAAGGTCATGATTTCCCTGGATAGCCCCTACTTTAGATCTTCCATTATGTCATCACCTCATGCACCCTGCCTGATTTTTTGGTTCAAGATAATGGAAGTCACAGAGCAAGATGCTGCTCATGGAGGTGGCACACTCATCCAGGATTGCCCTGGGCATTTGGGACCCCAGAAGTTCTTCTCTTAAGGGTCATTTTAGGATCTGAGATGGACAGAAAGGTGGTATAGCTAGTTCTCATGCTGCTTGCGTTTTCTATTTTCCTTTTGTTAAGAGGAAAATGCCAGTTTCCCTTGGAAATGTTCAGGAGGGCCTGGTGATGTGAGAGGCTGAGGGAGAAGGGAACCAGCTTTGTTGCAGGGTCTGTTGATGCCAACAGCTGTTCCGGGTGCTTCAGAGCTGTTCAGACCAAGACCCCAAGAGAAGGCAGAGATTCGGGGGACAGAGCCAGTCCCCCCACCTCCCTCCGACACACAGAGGGTCTGGAGCATCTCCCTCCGAAGTTACCCAACCTGTGGGCAGGGGGTGTTTGTAAAAGGGAGCCAATGAGCTTCAATTTTTTGTGTTGGTCTCTGGGAGTTGAGGAGGTGGGTGGACACTCTACCTGGAAGCGGAGATGCTGCTGCAAATCCCGGAGATCCAGCCTCATGGTCCACAGCTGCATCTTCTCTGAGCTGGTCCAGCCCCTCTGGCTTCCCAGGCCTCCCAAGAGGGCATGGAAGGGGCGAAGCATCATGGAGAGGAAGCAGAGTCGTTCTGAGTCCTGTGGGAGGGAGGGAATGGGTCAGGCAAGGCTCACAGGCTGAGGATCAAACCCCACCCCATGCTCACCAACCTATCACTCTCTGTCCACAGCCCCTCTCTATCCCCTTCTTCACCACCCCTTTTCCCGTCCATTGCCTTGCTTGTGGTTTTATCCTGTCTCCAGCCTCCTTCCAACCCTAGTCCCACACCTAATCCCAACCCCCTCCCTCCTCCATAGGTGCAGTCTCATTCTCACACCACTCCTTTATTCCGGCTGAATTTTTATATCCAATGACATACTCAGCCTCATCCAGACCCAATTCCTCCACTCTTCCCCAAATCCATTTTCCGTTCAATCCCGACTTCATCTCCATCCACCCGGGCCAGCCTTTCTGCTAGCTCTCCTGCCCCACCCCTCTGGCCCCCAACTCACAGAGAGGCTGTGCCAGGCCTGGAAGGTCAGGGAGACATTGGGGAGCTGATGTCCCAGGGGCAGGAGGTCCAGGCTCACTCCTGGCAGGTGAGATTCAGCCTGTGGGGCAAGGTCTGTTAGTGGGGACCAGAGGGAGTGGGGATTTGCCCATCCCCCAAACCAGTTGCCTTAGGGTGACTCACAAAGCGGTGGGCCTGGGTCCGAACCTCGGAGAATAGCTTCCTGGCGAGCTGCAGGCTGACCTTGAACTCCCTCCGCAACTCCTGCAGGCTCAGGGGGGACCTCCCTGGCGGTCTCGGGAATCCCCAGACACCAGCTCGAGCCAGGAGCAAGGAGAGCAGCAAAAGGCTGAGCCCTGGAGTTGGGGCGGGGGGGAGTTGGTGGGCCAGATGAGGGGAAGGCTTGAGAAGAACTCACGTGCCTTTTCTAGCCTGCGCTATAGGCAAGCCCTGTGCCATCTCACTGACCCCGCACAACCACTAACAAGATGGAAGCTTTTGAGGACGCCATATGGCATCTCTGTATGAATGAAAAGAAGATACCCCTTCTCCAAGACAGACACAACCTTGCTTAGAGTACCTACCTTTGCAAGCAAGTCTCAGGCTGGATTTGACCCCCACCAACTCCCTTGGCCAAGTGTCTTTTTCAGTGAACAAACCACTCAACCATATGTGGTAGCCTGGGTGCTATTATCCTGTGCATTTTGCAGATGAGGAAAATGAGGCTCAGTGAAGTTGACTAGCCCAAGGCCAAATAGCTAGAGGGCGAGGGAACCAGCACTGGATTCCAGATCTGCCCAAATGCAGAGCCTGTGTGCTTCCCACAGTGAACTTAGAGGAGGCAGCCACCTCCCACGGAGCGGGCACACTGTGTTCTGCTGAGGATTCCTTGGGCTTAGCCCGGCGGCTCTGATGGCCTGAACTAGAGCCCCAGGGGTGGGCAGGCGGTGCTGGAGGCTCTATCCCAGGGAGTCAGAAGGACAGGCTGGTCCAGCCACCGCCAAGGAAGGTGGATCACTCTGCAGTGTTGGAAGAACAGGGGGTGCCAGGAAGAGGAGGAGAGCCCAGAATGGGAGGCAGAACCTCGGTTTCTCATTCAGGTTCTTCCCTTGAGCAAGTCATCTCTTATCTCTGTGCCTCAGGTTCCCATCTGTAAAATGGGGGAGTCAGACCAACTGATTTCTTTCTTTCTTTTTTTTTAATTTATTCATTTGAGACAGAGAGATACAGAGAGAGCAAGAGCATGAGCAGGGGAGAGGCAGAGAGAGAAGGAGAAGCAGGCTCCCCGCCGAGCCAGGAGCCAGACATGGGGCTCGATCCCAGGACCCTGGGATCATGACCTGAGCCAAAGGCAGATGCTTAACCATCTGAGCCACCCAGGTGCCCCAGACCGATTTCTGAAACTACTTCCTGCCCTATGTTTCCTGGACAGAAGAGAGAGAGGCCCTAGGGTGGGAGCTCTGGGAAGAGGGCAGTGTTTGCTGGTTTCTCCATCAGGGAGAGGAAATCTAGCAATCGCTGGAGTTACACAATTCTCGAAACACAAACCAAAACTAGGCTGTAAGTCTAAGTCTGTTCCTGCTCTCCCTCCTCTCCGTGCCATTCTTGATGTCTAACCCCTGGGCTCTGCTCCTGAAATTGTCCTGTAAATAAAGACTAAGGGGAGCTTCTGGGTACTTCCATTCACCAATGTACTTCCAGAGGTGGGGGGCAGTGCCTGTGACCCCCAGCATTCAGGCTTCCCTGGCTTGGGGACCACTCTGGCATCCCAGAGACTTTAGACGGTGTGGGGTTCCTCTTAGCTCTATTTTGAGGGAAAGTGCATGCCCCCAGGCTCTGGTGGATATTGCCCACCCAGAATTGAGCTGAGCCATTTCCTACTGACCCTCTGCTTCCTGTCTGAGCTCTGGAGCCCCAGCCCCTTCCCGTGGCTTCTCCCTACCCTCTGTACCCAATCCTGGGTCCTTGGCCCTGGCTCTGTCCCCATCCTCCAGCCCTTGGTCCTTACTCTGGCTCCTCTTCCTGTGGCTCTGGTTCCAGCCTCTGACTCTTTGAGTCACCGACTGCAGATTGGACCTCCTCCCAAGCTACAGACCCTTGACCCAGTTAGGCTGTTGACTCCTTGGCCCCAGCCCCACACTCCAGCCAACTCCTCCTGCTGTTCTTCCTCTACCAGCCCCAGTTCTCAGCCAAACTGTCTGGTCCCTGCTCATTCACCCCAACCAAACTCTTCATTTATCTGCCTGGTCCTGGTCCCGGTCCAACTGGCTGCCCACCTCTCTCTCCCTTCAGGCCAGTCAAGCCCTCCCGTCCTCTGCCCAGCCCTGGCCGAACCATCATCCCTCTGCCCCTGGCCCCCATTCATGCCAGACTCATTCCCATTCTCCTGTCGACTGTATCCTGTATCCTTAGTCTTGGCCAAGTAGTTGCCCACTCAGCCCCTGGCCCCCATCCACACCCATCAAGCCCTCCCATCCCCTGCCCAGTCTCAGCCAAGCTTGCCACCCCTCTGCCCCCAGCCCTGGCCTCAGACTCACGCCAGCCAAGGTCGCCTGCCATCTGGCCCATAGCGGGGCCCAGCCTGTGTGGCCAGCCATCTCCCGGGCAGGGGTCTTATACTGGGGGCTGCGCCGGTTTCACTTTCCGTCCTGCTTGTACTTTCGGCTTTGCACTCAGTCTTCTCTCCTCACCACCCCTTGCTGAAATGGGGAAATGTCATTTCCCTTCCCAGAGGGGGCGGGAGGTGCAGTGGGGGGTGGCGGGAAGCTGGGGTTTCTGTCAATCCAAGCTCCGGACCCCCTGCTCAGCTTCCAGGACCAGCCGTCCCCTCACGTCCCCGCTCCTGGGTGAGCCACTGCTCTAGGGACTGGTAGGTCCCAGCCACTCAAACCCTCCTACTCCTCTGCTCTGTCATTATCATCCTAGTGCCATCACCAGCTCAATGTCCTATAGAAGATGGATGGCCAGGTAAGGGGATTGCCCATCAGAGAGGGCTTGGGGTTTTGAGTCATCTTGCTCTTTTCTGGTTTTCCAGATGGCTGAGGGAGGGAGTGCGAAGGAAGTAGGGAGCTCCTTGTGGAGCTCGGATGGGGCTTTGTGTGGAGCAGTGGGGTCCCAGTCTGGGCAGGGTCAGGCCTCAGCCTACAGCCAGGGTCAGGGCGGATGAAAACGGGTCCGTTCAGAGCCAGGAGCTCAGTCTTTGGACAGAGTAAGATCTAAGATTAGAGCTCAGTCTATAACTAGGTTTAGGACTTGATCTAGAGGGGACTTGGTCTAGAGCTTTGTCTGTGCTTGGGGTGAGAGCTATCAGTGACCTGGAGGCCATGCTTGGGACCATTTGGGGTTAGGTTTCGAGTTCAGTCCAGACTGGGCACAGAGCTCGGGCTGTGGCTAAGGTTCCGGCAGAGCCTGTGACTCAGGTCAGGGCTCAGGCTTGGGCTGTTGATGTCTAGGGTCAGGATTCACCAGGTTGGGGTTGTGTGAGGTCAGGATGGGGCTCGGTCAGGTCCTAGAATAATCCTGCTCTATGTGTTTCTGCTCTGTGGATGGCTGTCAGGGCTGGGCTGCATCAACCACAGGTCTCCCTTCCAGCACAGCTCCACCCTTAGCCCCACCCTGGATTTTCCATCTTCAGGGACAAGATGGGGGTTTCTTGGTCTTCCCCGAGGCCCACTTTCCTTTTAGGATCTGTGGGGTTTCCCTGCTGGGTCCCTGCAGTGAGACAGAAACCAAGGGGGCTTTCCCTTTCTATACTCTGCCTCTCAGCCCTACATAGGCCCTGCCGAGCAGGGCCGCCTGGAACCAACTGCCCGGGAAGTACCAGTACATTTGGGGGAGCAATCCCAGAGGGTTGCTTGGAGGAGAAGGAAGAGGAAGAGCGAGTGGCTGGCACCTACCTAGCCCAAACTGGTTTCCCTTGCAGTGTCCCCTAGTGGTGACAGCTCATTCCCTCACATCCCATGCCACTGAGGCTCCTTGGTGTGCGGGGGGGTCCCAAACATCCTGAGACTGATGGTGAGGACAGACACAGGCCCTGGCTGGTCTTCCTCACATCTCCAAGTCCTGCCGTCCATCCTGGAGGTGAGGCACCCCACTCACCCTCTGACCACAACCACTCCCCATTCTTTGCCGTTGCCCAGAACTGCTGTGCCTCTCAAACCTTGAACTCCATCTCCCACTCTCTACCACAACCTCCCGACACTCCAGACCTTCTCTTAGGGTTCTCCAAAACCTCCTGTCTCTTGTTGCTTCTCTGCCCTTCCCAATCTGGCTGCAACTGACACCTGCAGCCTCATTCCTGGTCCAGCAACAGGAGCTTCGTGCTTGAATACGATAAGCCACCTCATACCTGCCTGCCTTTCCACTAGCTCTTCTCTTTGCCTAGAAAGCCCCCACTGTCTTCTCTGGAGTCCCCTCTTCCCAGCCTGTTCTGAACCTACCCCTTGTCACGGGCTTCCTCCCCGGAATAGCTCATTCCTTCCTGCCATAAATCCTGTCTCCAATGGACATTGCATATTTATTTATCTTGCTTAATTTATCTTCATTCATACCACTCCAGCCATACTGACTCCCTCATTGCTCCTAGAACATGCCAGGCATGCTCCTGCCTCAGGGCCTTTGTACTTGCTGTCCCTTCTGCCTGGAACACTCTTCTTCCAGATAACTGCAAAGCCCACTCTCTTCTTATGATCCCTACTTAAACATCACCTTCTCAAATGGAATCCTCACTGACCCGATTAAAAGATGCAACCCTGCCCCTGGCACTTTCTCTTTTCTATTTTCTAGAAAGAAATGTTGCAATTTCCAACTATAACTGTGGATATATATTTTTTTTTCCTTTTAGATCTACCAATTTCTCTCATGTGTTTTGATGCTCTATTGTTTAGGTATAGACACAATTAGGATTGTTACGTCTTTTTGAAGAACTGACCCTTTTATCAGAATGTAACGTCTATCTTTTTTTTTTTTTTTAGTTGTATGTTTGGTGTTTATGTTGTAATGTCTTTCTTTATACTCGATAATGTTCCTTTTTTCCCCTGAAGTTTACTTTTTCTGAAATTAATTTGACAAGTCCTGACCTTTATGATTAGTGTTTACATGGTTTATCTTTTTTTTTAATACTTTCATTTTTAACCCAGTTTTAATTTGCGGTGGGTTTCATTAAAACAAAATTCCAGATTAATATTTTTGTCAGTTTATATGGCATTTATCAGTGTCTGCCATAAGTAAATAAGTATTCTATTTCCTAACTGAAGATATCCATTCTACTCTTTTTTGTAAGATTTTATTCAATTATTAATTAACTAATTAATGAGAGAGAAAGAGAGTGAGCATAAGCAGGGGGAGGGGCAGGCAGAGGGAGAAGCAGGCAGAGGGAGAAGCAGGCTCCCTGCTGAGCAGGGAGCCCGAGGCGGGACTTGATCCCAGGGTCCCAGGATCATGACCTGAGCCGAAGGCAGACGCTTAACGACTGAGCCACCCAGGCACCCCTACCTGTTCTATTCTGAATGTGAGATTAGTTGTTTGGCTTGTGACCTCAGTTCCTTGATGAGTTCAAGAAAGATCATTAGTTTGTAGTTTGTCTTACTTTGTTTCTGGTTATAAAGGGCAAGTGGTGCCTTTTCCAGATTTTATACCTTTAAAAAATGCACATTATTTGTGTTGCTCTGTTCTTCTAGCTGGGTACTTTAGCACCACGTTAATTAGATGTGATAGTGAACATCTTTATTTTTTTCTTCATTTCAGCGAGTAAGCTTTAAATTGTTCATTATAAGGTATTTTTTCTTATCTTTTTGTAGATTCCCTTCATTAGATTCCAGAAATCCCATGTAATTCGTAGTTTGTGGACATTATCTTTAATAAATATTCACTTCATTTAAATTATTTGCCTGTATCTATTAAGACTCCCCCGGCACTTTTTAAAAAATATTATATATATTTATTTGACAGAGAGAGAGAAAGAGAAAGCAAACACAAGCCGGGGGGCAGCAGGCAGAGGGAGAGGGAGAAGCAGACTCCCCACTGAGCAGGGAGCCTGACTTGGGGTTCCATCCCAGGACCCTGGGATCATGACCTGAGCCGAAGGCCTACACTTAGCCGACTGAGCCACCCAGGGACCCCTCCACACACACTTTCTATCCCTTTCCCTGCATTATTTTTCTACATAACATTTAAAAACATCTAACATTTTCTCTCTCCCTTGTTTTGGTCTGTCTCCATGCTCTGGAGTATGAGTTCCACAAGGGGGGACATTCGTGCCCGTTCTGTGCGCTGATATATCCCCAATAGCTAACAACAGCAGGTTCTTCGGAAATCAGCGAACCAATCCGTCTTCTGCCGCAAGTGCCTAACGCGGGCTCTGCTCCCGGCCTGTGCTCCGAAAGTTGCCAGATAGAGCAGCAGGTCTGGGACCAGCTGCTGAGCCCTGAGCCCTGAGCTCTCACTGTCAGCCTTCTCCGGCTCTGGCCAATGCTCCAGACAGGTACTGAGGATGTAAAGCGGGAAGCTGGGCTGCTGGGCTGCTGGGCATGGCCCTCGGCCGGGATGATCTTAGCAGATCCTTGCCAAGAAGCCAGAGAGCCAAGGAGGGCGGGGGCAGCCTCTGTCCCTGTCCTTGGAGGATGGGCCTGGGCCCGTGTCTGTCTACCTGGGCCTCAGTTTCTACAAGCAGATCTTGGCTGGTCAGCCGAGGCTTGGACTGGGATCCCAGCAGGAAATGGAAGGGATGTGGTGAAGGCTGAGGACTGCTGGAAAGGAAGCCAAGGACACTGAGCTCTGGACTCCAGTATGTAGCTAACCCTTCTGTTGACCTCAGGTGAGTCACCAGCCTGCTCTGGACCTCAGGTTCCTCATTTAAAAGTAGTAGCAGTTTTCAAATGCTTCCACTGCTATTACGTAGGGAAATTAAAACCTAGATGATTAAAAAAAGAGGGAAAAGAACCATCCACCAATTTTCTGATTATTTTCCAAGTACCCCGTTATAGCTCAGACCCCCTGGGGCACTCCACCGGATTGCATGGGAATCCTGAGCCCAGGAAGTAGAAGTTAGAAGCTTCAGATGTGACATCAGTATGGAATCAGGGAGGGGAAGTCTTCTTCAGGGTTACACAGCAGATCAGTGACAGAATGAAGACTGGAACTCAAGTCCCCCGTTTTCAGCTTGGGCTGGTGAGGGGAATCCCTGGGCCTATGATGTCAGCTCCGAGGCTTGGAACTAAGCCCTCTGTTAAACCAAGATGGCCTTCGGTGGAGGCAGGGAGGCTGGGGGAGGTGAGGCCAGGCTGGAGCTGGGGGCCCCACCTCTGAGTCTCCCAAACACGGGTGGTGAGACCCTGAGCCCCGAGGCACAGTCTCCACCCTTCTCTCCCTGAGAGGAGGTGGGAAGCCCAGAGCCGTAGCCCTCATCCCGGGCTTCTCCCCTGTTGTGCGCATGCACCCCACCCCACTCCCACCCCCGGGGTCTGCAGGACTGATTCTGCAGCATGCACTCACCACGCCCCCTCCCGCAGACCTGGGCGCTGCCTCTAAATGGGGTATCTCTTTTGGGACTACCGACCGTGGGAAGGCCTGAGAGAAAGGGGTGTTGGGGGGGCGGCTAACTACTGATGAGATGTTACAATCGCTGGGTGTTGTAT